CCATTTATATAACAAACAGAGAAGTGTAGGAGGGAGGACCAAAAACTTGAGGGTGAATCGAGAGCTAGATTGGTTTGATTTGAACATCTAAAGTTAGGAAAATAATTAGCTAACCGGTGTCAATAAACATTCTCCAAATTTCAACTCTTAGACCACTATACTGACGACTCTAAACCGGGCTGAACCTTAAACCGAAGCTAACCACATCAAAAATTAAAGAAGCCTAAAGAAAATATTTTGATTCCCAGTTCCACTCACCTGGTTAAACAGCTCTTGGCTTGTGTTTTCCTTCATCTTCTCCCACAATGATCAGTCACATAACCATTATCGATTGATGTAATGGCGATCAAGGAAAAAAACCGAAAACGTCATAATAATAACATCTGCTTGAGACAGTATTCAAGATTCTCCGTGAAATGTTGAACTTTGTCTTGATGGCTGAGTTTTCAGAGCTGTAGCGCCAAATCAGGCTGTTGGGAATCAACACGAACACCAGAAGATTGTTTTGCAGGAGAATCAGGCGAATGTACACCGATGTTCAAATCCGGAGGGAGATTGAGATTCTCTTGTCTCTGCTTTAACTGGACATGTGGAGTAATGCCTCCTCGCCATGGAAACTGAACATGGAATCTTGTGAAATCAGAAGTTGGAGCCATCTGAGGGAAAACCATTGGCCTGTTGTTCTGAGGTGGTTGGGATCCTCCGTTCATCATCCCATGAACCGGTTGGTGCACAAATGTCTGGAAAGGGAAACCATTCCTTTGAGGATGGAACTGTGTCCCCTCGGGGTCTCTAGGTTTAAAAGCTTGTTGGTGAAGTTGTTGGTGAAGTGGTTCTCTAGCTGGATTATACAAGGACTCTGCAGAAATCTGGCTGGTTTTGGGGATACTAGGGTTTTCATATGTTTGTTTATTATGCCCTCCAGCTCCTATCGACATCCACGCTCGTGCTGCTGCTACAGAAGCATTGCTCGAATCTTCACCTCTTGTGGATTGTGGCGATGAAACATTTGGTGGAGCATTGGTGTTTTGCTGTGTTCTAGCCTTTTCATTGAAGTTTCTCATCAACTGTGCTTGTTCGCTGTGGGTTTGACTCTGTTGTCTCATGGGTTGTTGTGAACCTTTTGCTGCCATTCGACTCATCTGATTAGCAGAATCGGTAGAAAGATCAAACATTCTGTTGTTCACACCAGTCGAGACTTTGCCATTACTCAATCCACCAGGGAAAATCCCGGTGGTAGTCATCTGGTGCTTGTAATGTTCAGACTCTGTAGGAGTCACGTTCCACATCATGTCACTAGATGACCTGTACGATGCTGCTGTTTCCGATTTTCCAAAGCTTTGGCTTTCCAGAACACAAGCAGAACTGGAATTGGTTTGTTCTGCTGGTGGTGGTAAATTCAGTTCTACTTGCTGAGGAATTCTATTTTGAGGCTTGACAAAATCTAGCCGAGAAGGATTTTGATATTGATGCTGGCTCATAGATTTTGGGTTTCCTACTTGAGTAGCAACAAAAGATGGACTCCCTTCTGACACAGCCCCAATAGATGTTGGAAACAGGAATGCACGGTTTCCATCTTGAACGGATCTGTTAGCCTGTTGTTCTTTTGTAGGTAGAGGAGTCTTAAACAGGGTCTCATTCTTCTTTGCAGCAGCACTTGACTGTGGCTTTGAAAACACAGATTTTGCTTCTTTAGGTGGTTCTTTAGGTGTGCAGGTTTCAAATAAAAGTACTGGAGTAGGAAGCGGCTCGTATTCTCCA